TTGAAATGTCGCGGATCTCCTTATAGCGAATCGAATCTCTCTGGTGAAGAAAACCCAATCGACCACCCACTTGAGATTGTCAGTGTTGATTAAATATTAGCAGACACTTTTGTCTTGTGTATTCGCATTCGTTATACTTTTTCATTCTGCGTGTAAGAGGGTCATTTCTCAAGTAACAATCGATTGCGTACCCTGCCACCTAACTTCCGTTCAACTTCAGACACTCTTGGACAGTCTTTTACTGGACCGCCAGTATAGTGCTTTGATTGTCGCCATTACAACACGGTTCTTACTTAAAAATGACGCTTGCAGAAAGTTTCTCTATATAATAGTGTAGGTATCGTTTATTGAGGAGCTTGTATTTCCATAAGTATCACAAATTCTATTAAAATTACCACAATTTATTCCAACTCACGGTAAAGGTCTATGATGATGATGATGCTTTGGTGTACGTTCTATAAAATAATAATCAATAACCTGCGGTATTGTTCATGAATATTTCATAAGCATCCTTAAAAAATAATGTTGTATACATGCAAGGAGCCGAGTGTGACTAACACGTCAGCTATGCACTAAAGTACGCACTTCATTTAAAGAAAATAAAAATATATGTGATGCAAGCAACAACTATGATTGAAATTCTGTTGAGAATTCCTGATTGTTGCCAAAGTTTTCTACTTTCTGACAAGGGAAACGAGCAGGGAACTATTCTCAGAAGAAATGTTTTTGGGTGATCTTCTCCCACAATAATACTACCGTTAAATAATATGATTATAAATAGCATGATGTTGTTCTTTTGTTCGAGTTACGACCAACTAATTTCATACACAATGTCGCATCATTAAAATCGGGAATAGGGACTGTCTACCTATGCGGGATTCCTGAAAACTGAAGGAATACTTGTCTGATGATAAGAAATAAATGATTATCTGATCAGGCCTAGTTAGAAAATGTTGTTTCTTGATATAAGTAAGGTTTGTCAACATATTATACATTTTTGGAATCAGAATTAGAAACTATTGTTTGTGCTATAATCTATGTCGTCTATAAGAAAAAAAAGTTGAGGATTGAGAACAACAAAATCAACTTGATATGGAAATACAAATTACCCCATCTTGTAGAGGAGAAATAGTGGCAATGTTGATGTACTTTCGAGGTCCCACAAAAAATAAAGCCAGGTAAAAATAAAAACGATTTTGGGTAAATCAGGTTTTTCTCGTCTATCTACAAAAATACTAGGAATTGTGAAACTTTTTAAGTGTCATTTTCTTAGTTACCAAAATGATGCAACTTTTCCCACATTTAATCGACCTCTTATGTCTTACCACTTCCCAAATCTCAATTGTGAGAGTCGAATTTGAAACACCCTGTATATGTGAAAATTGACCAGGCTTTTATTAATTCTACTTAAAAGTTATGTTTTTGATTTTGGCTGAACGAAGATAATATTTTTATCTAGGACGGGTTTGTAACCTGGGCGATCTCTTTACGCTCAAGATACATAAGTAACTATTATACCAGTGGTCGCCGCCCTTTTCAGTGTGTTGAGCTACTTTGATAATTTTGGAATAAATAGTCGTAAGCAATGTAAGCCAACTTGAATGAAATTATACACAGTTGTATGCGACATACATGTGTTTATTTTACATTCTAATGAACTTCTAAAGTTCCATAGATTTTATAGCACACACTATCTCGTCTTTATTTCTAAAGTTGACAAACAATGAATCTGCAGCTTCTAAAAACGCCTGTTTTAGCATTTCCCCGTCTTCATAAGGTCTTCTTTTGTGTAATTATCTGGAACACCCGGTATGATGCTTCAGTTGCAGCCTTACTTTTGTCGATTGTTTTTAAAAACATTGTCTGTTGTCCAATTAACTGATTTTTTAATTGTAATCAGTTTTTCCGTTCTGGATTAAAGAAACAACTGACGGACAGGCAGCCTAGGACTAATTTGTTTTTACAAGTTCCTTCAAGGAAACACGTAATTACCTAAATTATATTTATTTCATGTGATAAAGTAGGGGACAAACAGAAAGATAGTAAACCGTTTCAATTTATCTTTCGAATATGTAATGTCTCGTTCAGATTGAACAGTTTTCATAACAAGATTCAGAGTTGGAAACTAGAATCGCTAGACAACAAAGTGCTTGGTAGAGAGTTCCATTACAACTCCGAAAGTTTTAATCTAGTTAAACTTTAGAACTCGTGGTCCATATCCAAACGTCGGTCTAGGAAAACCGTTATAATGAGCAAACTCGGGTTACATAATGCATTAACTGCGGTTATTTCTCTATATCAGCTTTTAGCACCACCACTGAAATGAATATTTCATATATGGGCAAAGTAAGCACCCTAGTCAAAGCGTGTTGTAACACACCGTACATTAGCTATCGCGAAAAAGTACATCGGCATATTCGTCAAACATTCTGCAATAAGTATTGTAGTAGAATGAATCCACATGCTGATTCGGCTACCAGATAACAGAATGTGTTTGTCTCAAAAGATTGATATTGGGTGATAGATGTTGTGACTAAAATTCCAATTTATATACGAAAGTATTTGTGAAGGAGTTTCTCAATAATAGAAGTAAGAAGGATTGAACTAATGGTTTTGGTAGAAAGCAAAAAAAACTTGAATAAGCGACTCTGGGCAAGGTAGATACAGATCTTTTATTACCTCCGTGGACGTGGCCGTTGCATTATTAAACAAAATTTTATGCTGCAGTGACGACCTAATTTGGGCGACCTGTAATCTAAAGTCATATACTCGTATATAAGAAGTACCTTTCTTCTCAAAACATCCTCACTTTCTACAAAGCCCGGATTAGACCTAGCCTCGAGTATTCCTCACATGTTTGGAATTCTGCCGCCTCGACTACATGTACATACTCGATGTTGTTCAGAGGAGAGTTATTCGACTGATCGATGAGACTTCTCTACCGGACAGTCTCGGGACCCTTTCGCTCCTCCTCCATGATGCCGCCGTGCGTTGAGCCTGCCAGGACGCTGCCTCCCATCCTAGCTCTCTTTAACTTCGCACACCGACAACTGACCGGTACGAATAATAAGTTTCTTATAGCAGTCGCGGTGCCCCGCTATTTAGGTGTCTGTCCATGTGACTGCTCCAGTATAAGAAGGAAAAAATATATTTTCGGAAATACCTGTATTTTAAGAATTCGTACTGGAGATACAGCCGCCTTGCAGATTCTCTTAAACGCCCACGGTTCACGAGATAATTAATCTCCCCTCGTAACCTTATTTATATCGGTTATTTAAAATTGACCTTTTGGAACGGATACTAAATACGTAAAGAGAAATAATTCAAGGTTCCTGGTCGGAACACCTTAGTCAACTTGTGAAACACTGCTAATTGATAAAAATTACTACTATGATCAGTTGTTTTATGAAGTCTCCATATGTGATATATGGGAAAGTTAATGGTCCACTATAGGGTGTAAACGTTATGGTAGTCATTATTGAAATGGGTAATAGGGGTGGTCAAAACAAGTCAAAAAGTTCATTTGACCCATGGTCCAAAAGTCAATAGAATTTTGACTAAATGGCTTGATAGTTTACAACTACTGTAGAGCAGGAGGAACAAATATTAAATATCGTGGAAATCAATGCAGATATCAGCACTCGGGAATTGGGCCGCCGGAAGGACTATCGCATACCATAGTCCATAGAATCCTACGGGAAAATTTGCTTTATCCCTACCATGTACAAAGAGTGCAGGCCTTGTTACCAGAAGACTATCCTCGCAGACTAACATTCTGCCAGTGGTCTTTGCACAAAAACATTGAAAATCCGGATTTTCTTAAAAACATTCTAGCGACGGACGAATGTATTTTTACGCGAGACGGGATATTTAATTTCCATAATACTCACACGTGGGTCCAAGAAAATCCTCATACCATTCGTGAAGGTCATTTCCAACAACGTTTTAAAATAAATATCTGGACGGGTATTCTTGACGATCAGGTAATTGGCCCTTTCGAGTTACCCCCAAAGTTGTCAGGAGAAGGATATCTTAGCTTTCTAGCCAATAACCTACCAGAACTTTTGGAACAGACGGTAGACAACATGCCATTACAACGGAGACAGAATTTGTGGTTTCTTCATGACGGGGCACCACTACACATTTTTAGAGGCGTCATTCAGTATTTGAATGAACATTATCCAAATCGCTGGATCGGTCGAAATGCCCCTGATCCTCAAAAATGGCCAGCAAGATCTCCTGACCTCAATTTGATGGATTGAAGCACAACTTCGCGAAAAAAAAAATGTTAATGCGGCTGAGATAATAAATGGACAACTTCGAGGACCTAGAGTAAGAAAAAATTGGGTTCGTCGTAATGAAGCTTGTGTGGAAAGTGGAGGACGACGTTTTGAACACCTTTTATTATTTATAAGTGGATTTTTTTAATACGTTCAATAAACACCACACCAGGTGAAGCGCTGAGACAGTTGGTAAGTCCGTTTTTTTTTTAATTGTCTGTATTTTGCGAGTATGTTATCAAATAGTGAAATAATACCTAAGAGCCAAAAATAATAAACTCCATCTTTATTTACACTGCGTTCCGTCGTAACTTGCATCTGGCATTGCGGCGTTGTCAGATTTTATTTTACTTTAAAGTCGCTTTTCTCTAAAAAAATGCCGTTTTGACCCCCATGTTATATGAAACTTTATGCTTCTTTATGCTCTATCGCCCATTTAAATAATGACTATCATAACGTTTACATCCTGTATTACAGACCTTTTATGGAATTATGTTTTCTTCATTACTTCCAACTATTCCTGGAAATAATTTTAATCACCGTTAAATTAAAGTTGTGTTACGCACCACAAATTTCAAGTGAAACAGAAATAACCGTAAAACGCCCAGCAGTATTTCCTTTATTTTCACGTCGAGGCGGCGCCAGCGCCAACTTCTGGAATGTTACATCATAAGCGGCATTTTCGCGTTTTCCGACGTCCTAAATTTAGCTACGCCGTGCCAGGAGACGCGCATTCCATCCGAATCTAAAACACGCTTTTGGAGGCCCTCTGACACTAAGGCTCAGGCTGACACCGTCGCGGCTTCAGCACCTCGTCGTGCGAACATAAGTGTGACTCTTGATGAAACTGTGATGTGTTGTGAAGATGTGTGATATGTGTTTAGTGTGAAACATACGGCTTCTTCCTTGAAGTATGTTGAAGTGACATATTAGTGGAGTGCACTTGGAACCTCGGAACCCGCACGGGTATCACGTATCTTGAAAAGTGACATTATGCCGATTTTTTTTGACATTATGCTGTTATTTTTTTGACACTATGTAGGTTATTCTACAAGATGTTAACTTGGCACTTAGTTGTACGTGTTGCCTAAACGTCATGAGGCTTGTTATCAATCTTTGGCTCTGATGTGATGTAAAATCTGCTTCTGAGATGGCATTACTGGAGGTCTAAGCTGTAAGTTGTATGTGTTGATGATAATTACATTGGGTTCTTGTCTCAAATACACTTAATTGAGATTCAGAGCTAGAAATTACTTGCGCATCCACTGCTGAATTTCAAAAATGAGAGAGAAAAGAAATAATTATATTCACTGTACACTGTCGAATTAAAAGCTAACAGCTAACAGTAATTACACGGGGGCGCGGTGATGATTTCCCGTAATTCTCCTCAGTTTTTCGTAATTTATGACTTTGAACAAAACCTCTCTTCAGAAAGCACAACATATAAATAACCCGTCATATTCTGCATATTCAGTAATGATTTTCTCACATAGCAAATATCACTGATTTTATACACATGCAGACCTATACACATAATCATCCAGATGCGATCTTACTATTCAACCAACTTTCTTCTCAGAGATAAAAACTACAGACCCGGATCACTCAGTCTCACAAAGCTATGCAACCAATAATGCGTAGTTTAGTTGAGTGACTCCTCCATAGATGGACGTTCACAACGATCCTAGTGAGCAAACGTGGAATGACTGTTTGCGCCCTAACAACTACCTAGTCTGCAAGTTGACTTCCTATAGGTTTTTTTGGCGTTTTATAGGTTTTTTTACATGATACCCGTGCGGGTCTACTAAATGAATTTTTGAGATTCTTGTTTACCTGTTAATTTTGTGCGCTTGTGATTTTCAATTATTTTTATTTTTTTTTAATTCCATCGATTTGTGTATGCGATTATTTAGGTTTATAATGTCCAGTTGATAGACCTCATTATTCTTTTTAGAATAAATTTTGCAAAATATTGAAAGATGTAATTAAGGTTGCAAAAAATTATTAAACAAATGTTTTATCAACAATGCTGATAATAAAATTAAAGCCAGTTGGCAACTTGTGAAACAAATAAAAAAAAGAGGTAAAACAATTGTTGAGAATTTTTCTAATAAATATCAAGATCCACTAAAAATTGTTAATAAGTTGAATGAGTATTTTATAAATGCATGTCCAAAAATTAAAAAAAAATAACAGCGACAGTTTCCCGGCAAATCGATATGGACATACCATTTTTTGTCTCCAACTAATAAAGAAGAAATCATGAAATTGATAACTTCTCTTAAAAACAAAAAACCAGTGGGCGATGATAACTTACCTGTTAAGATAATAAAATAAATTGCTGACTATATCGCAGAGCCTCTATCTTTTATTTTAAATTTGTTTCACGAATGGAACTTTTGAAGTTATTTATAAAAAACGTGAAGTTGATGATTAGAAAAAAAAAATTGAAAAAGTGATATCTAGTAAATTCATATGAGCTAATAATCAGACTATAACTAGCATTTTAAACTCACTAAATGATCAAAATGAAACAGTGGCGGTATGTATTGACTTGTCAAAAGCTTTTGACACTGTCAATCACAAAATACTTATTGATAATTTTGGAATTAGAGGTAATGCTTTGGAACTAATTAAATCCTATTTACACAACCGCACACAACAGGTTGTTGAAAATGATTCCCGGGGTAGGCTTATTGCCTGTGAAAAGATAGTCTTCAGGGGGTTGCGCAGCGTTCTATCCTTGGACCATTGCTGTACATCCTGTACACCAATAAATTGCCTGGGGTGACGGGTGAGCAGACCATTCTTTATGCTGATGATACATTAATTTTTAGTAAAGAAAATCATGATATGATATTGGCGGGTGTGACGTACTCGAAGGGTATTTTTCGGCTCATGATCTCTGTCTTAATGTGCCTAAAACCCAGAGTATTTTATTTGGAAATAAAACGGATGCTGCTCTCTGTTTTTCTTATAAAAATATAGATATTGAGACAGCAGAAAGCATCTCTTTTCTGGGTGTTAGGATTGACAGGCGACTGGGCTGGGGGGAGCACGTTGAGGATGGCGCATTGGGTGTCTCTAGGTATTGCTATGCATTGAGAGTGATTAGGAATGATGTTGGTCTCGACGCTGTCACATCGGCATACCACGCATTTGTTCAGTCGGGAATTAGGTATGATCTGATCTTCTGGGGCAGCTCGCGGGATATAAAGAGAGTTTTACTTTTCAAAAAAAAAAAAAGAAAACGCATAACAGCCCTAGTTAAAAACAAACAAATGGAAAGTTGCAAAGAAATCTTCATCAGTAAAAAAATTCTAACTGTTTTTTAAACATAATCACATGACTAGGCATCCCAGATAGGTGTAACTTCAGTTTTATTAAAAAAATTCTCCATATACTGTTGAAAAAATGTTCAATAGTTTTCACTTGAATGTACGATATTTACCAGAAATCAAAGTTGAAAAGATTATCGCTAATTATTTGATCTCTAAGGCATTTTATTCGTTGAGTGATTCTTGAGGATAAGGATAGACTTACTGTAGAGTTAATTCAGAATATTTTGTACTGGAGACTATCATGCCACCGTTGCTACTATACATAATTTTATTGATAACGTTGACTATCTGGAAAATTGTTGTAATTAAATACAAATACATTGTTCTTGTTTATGATTGTGAAGGCACATGAATTCATAGTTTATAAAAATCTTTGTAATTGTATACTTCTTTTATAATTAATTTTAGCTAGCTAGCTACAGTAATGGACAAAAGTATATAGACAAATTAATATTGTGCTCTATTTCTTTTTTAACTTGTTTTATTAATACACCAACCTGTATGCATAATTCGTTATCTCATAATACTCACTTATACATAAATAAATTCATTAGACTCCCTTCAATAAAAAATTAATTGAAAAACGGGAACACTGAAGGACAAAAATATATAGGCAAAGCAAAACAATTATTGAAAAAAAGAAGGAAATTTCATTGAATTATAGAAAACCAACCATGTTTGTGTCAATATTTTGTAGCATAACCATCATTACCAATCACCGCCTGGTATGGTATCGGCATAGATTGTAGAAGTTTCTTGATATAGGTTTCATCAATCATGCGTCTCACGTAACGAAAATACCTGGAGGTTATTACTACCTGAAGATGCAGAGACATGATCCAGTTCAATCCTTGTATCTTATGACATAAGAGGAGCTTAAACGATTATGTGGCTCTGATGGGTGGTCGACCGTTATCCAAAAGCTTGTGTGGTCAAAAATCGTTGGAGATATGATTCAACACGATGACGTTTCGGCAATAAGCAAGCACTCATCCGGCTTCGAGTTCCACCAAAGAGCCGTTCATTTCGGCTGGTCGAAGTCCAGATCACAGAGGACTTGGTCTAACACGAACACATCTTATCAATCGCGGCAGTTGCTAGGAAAAAAACTAGACTTTTTGTACTTTTCTTCAATAACCTCCTCGTTTTGTACAGGGCCCAGATAAGACTCAGAGTCAGAGTACTGCTAACATGCTTGAGGTTCCGCTGCCTCGACTACATTATCCATCGATGCTGTTCAACTGATCGATGACTCTTCTCTAACAGACAGTCTCGGGACCCTTGCGCACCGACGGACCGTCGGCAAGCTGATTTTCTTCTGCTGCCGTGTCATTGGACTCCTCCTCAAAACTCTCCTCCATGATGTCACCTCACGATGAGCCTGCCAGACAGACCCGCCTGACTTTAGCCTCTTATCCTAATCGGATTAACAAAGTTTCTTTGGGATGCTCGTAGAAGCCGCGGTGTCCAGGTATTTAGGCGTCTGCCTACGTGACTACTTCTGTATTGAAAAACAGCTGAGATATCTATTTTTGATCCAGTCTAGAACACTGCTCCGTTAAGGGAACTACTTTACTAGCTACACTTGTTTCTATTCCATACATAACAGGACAGCTTTATCCATCTCACCCTACATCTCAAAAACACTATATATCAGCATACTTTACGTTATAGTCATAAAATAGGGCACTGGATATAATTATAATCGGTATACGTTATAATTCCATGTGATTTATTGGACAAAGTATAAAATATTCATATTTATATCTATTTATCAACATGTAAAAAACGTAAATGCTGCACGAACGAATTGAAATACGAAATGTAATTTGCACTTCCCCGACAATATATTGAATCGTGGACTTAACGAGTGTGGTGAATCAGGATATCAAATTAAAAAATTCAAACACTATAAAAAATTAAATTTTCCATCATCCCAGTCCTTGTTTGCGTGCCATTAAACATAAAACATATTCATTCCGTGCTGAGGCTCATTTGGTCCGTGAGTTTAACCATTTAATTTTTCTAGAGCGCTATCTGGGGAATAGCGTAATGCTAATGCTTTTTCCCGGTGCATGGAACATCGTTATCATATTTTTTTCGTTATTTAAAAAGACAGTTGCTTTCCTACACTATTTATCACGATACTCCAACACATTTTGACGTTTATTTAAGTGCATCCTTGTGTTAATTTGGTGTTGGCTTAAGTGAATTTGTTACGTTTACAACATACTGACCAAAAATCGATTCAAATCGCTGACTTGATATATTGCCATGATCAACAGCAGTAGAGTTTGATTTATTCCGATTGTATATCAAAACCTTCCTAATCACTTGTTTGCGAAACAACTCGCAGACGCGTCGTAGGAAATACAGTAGAAAACACTATAAGGTACGTTTCTGTCACTTGTCGTCATGGGGTATTTTGAATGTCATATAAACAATTTTTCCACTTGTTCTGTTTATTTTTACTTCCCACGCCGTCTGACAAGGAAGAAGTGTAATCTCGAAAAATTTCGAAAAGGAGATATTGTGTTTTTTGCATGTTGTTTGACATGTAAATCACGAAAAACTGTCACTCATTTACGTCGGTCTGTCTGTCGGTTACTACTATGCCAATGACAAAAAGTCTTTGTAGTTGGCATAGTATCGGTGGAGAAAATGCCAAAAACGAAAAAAATAAAAATTGCACAAACC